ACAGTTTTAGTGTTGGAACTGATTTTATTGTAGTGTTCCAGGACTACAGGAGTTTATTTCCACTTCCCAGCACAGCAGCTCAATTAATTGCACGGAGCTCTGCTGACCAGAGTCAGGAAATGTGGTCTCTATCAGACAGATGTACTAGAACTCTATTCAGAACCAGATTTGAGCTTTTTATTCAGGTCTGAAAATAGTTTCTGTGATTGTTCCCGCTTTAGAGTGGAATGTGAGGTTGCAGTACTGCATCTGAACACAAGTGAAAGAAAATAGTTACCAGTTTTAAAGGAGGAAAGAAATCCTTTTCCTTTTCTCTATTCTTATCTACAAAATTGTGCACAAAGCCTAATTTACTACTACAGCTGTTGGAATGAGACAGACCACATCAGGAGTCAGAGCAGTGCTCTTCACCACTTTCCATCAAGCTGTTTTGAGAGAAAAAACAATTCTCTGACTGCATTGGTATTGCTAATTAGGTGACTGTTTTTGTCTTCTAAACTTTTTTCTATACAGATATGAGGGACGCTCTATAAAGATTTTTGGGCAGAAAAAAAGTTACACTGAAGATTGAAAAACAAAACATATGCAAAATCGCTGCATTTCAAAGCATGATATAAACAAATTATTGAGTTCATAATAACTGACCTGTATTGGTACACATCTGAGCTTAGTTCAGGTTATTTTTAGCAGGTCTTTCATACTCTTAATTTCAGTTCTTGCTTATTTATACGTTTGATGTTGGGTTTTGTGGATTAGGCTCTGTGGTGGAACAAGCTGCTTCCTGAACTTTGCAAGAGAGCTAGACTTACTGGAAATGGCTGCCCTGTTCTTATTTCTTCACTCAAAGGTAAATCAATTGGTTGTAACTCAACTCCAGAAGGCTTTGTTCATCAGCTAATATTGTTAATAACTGTTCAGACTAAGGACTATTGAGATGATAATTTGAAAAAAAATAAGGGGGTCTTTTTCTTCAGTTAAAGCTATTGCAGTTTAGCAACCTTTTTGGTCATTAGCACAGAATTCTGCAATGTAGGCAGTGTAGCTTCATAAAAATCAGGACATTAATTTTGTATTGAAAACAGGTATATTGTTGTAATCATACTCTTTCTGTATAGGTAAGGAATAGACACCATTAAAAAAAAAACCTACTAAAAAGAACTAATTGTGATTGGTTCTTTTCTAGGCTAAATGACTATATGGTTCTTAGGTAATAGACTGTTAGTGATAATACAGAGGAGGCTTAAGTGTGTATTGATGATTAAGTCATAGACTAAAAAAACCAGTATGCTAATACTAAAAGTAGAGAAATCCACCTTAGTTCTGTAGTCCTATCATTACATGTTTGTAAGAAATTATAATATTGTGTATAGCTGAGGGGCCAGTGTGATTGTTTTGACAAATTAGGAATATTAAATAAAGCACATATATTGTACAAAGAACGCCATTGGAATGCCTGACAAAAACAGCATTGTGGGATTGCATTCTGCAGCACAGTTCTTACAAAGTTCTAGTTTCGGGTGCCAGTAGTTTTTCTTTGGATTTATTTTCATGCAGTAACTGTGTTGTAATTGCATAAAGAACATAACATTACACAGCTTGGTCTGAGATGCTTCTTGCAAAGCATCCAGTTTTACAGATAGTGTTGAATGAGGGTACTAATAAGATTTCTAGGGCTTGCTTTGCATTTCATACAAAACTTGTAAAATACTAGATCAGACTTCATTAATGTTAGTGCCATGTGACCCAATATGTCAAGGTAGAGGCCTGTTTTTGGTTGAAGTCATAATTTCAGTTTCCTTTTTAGATTTCCCATAGTTGTGTTTGCACACAAATGGCTATGTCTCAAATGTTATTCCAGTTGCAATATTTAAATAATTTGATGACTTTAATTAATAATTACATTGTTAATGCTTTGGGTTTTTTTCTTTGTTCTAAACTCAAAATACCTAAACTATATTTTCTCCCCTGCTCTGAGCAGAAACTTTATCAATTGTTGCAATGGAACTGGAGCTAAGGGATTTCCTCAGTCTTCTACCAGAAGATGGAACTGCAGCATTTTTTCTGCCACATCTTCTTCACTGCAGCCAGAGGAAGCTGCTGACCTAAAACAATGACCTGTGGACCTGCTGTGCACTCAACTACAATGTGCTATAATAAAAAAGTAAATGAAACAAGCAGTAGAACTCCTTATAAGGTACTGCAGGCCTCCCTTCACATACATCTTGTGATGTCAGCTGCTAAAGGACAGCTGTTTACTGAGGCAAGGCATCTGTTTTGAAGCTAATTCTGGTGCCTAAGCAGCTAGGAAATACAGACTCTACCGTACAACTGAACGTACAGTGTTCACTGAAAGTGAAGTAGAAAGTCAGTCTTCAATCTTTGTTAGTTGGATCACTGACTTAGGGAGGAATTCAGGCTCAGGTATGTGTCAGCTGTACAAGTGAAAGTGAGTACCTTACTCTTCCAAGCGGAATTGGGCCCAACTGACTTGATATTGCAACACAGACATTTCCTTGAATTTCTTCTAGGGTTTTTGGTAAGCATCTCAGGTGCTTGTGCATGTGTGTACTGATGTTTGTCTGTCTTGTGAGCAGAAAGCATCTTTCTGCTCCTTCAGAGCTGGAATTCAGTCATAAGAAGCAGTCACAATGTTTATAACGTCCTTATGAATGTAGTTTGTGGTTTTTGACAATTACCAAAAATACGACGACTCCCATGATCCCATAACCATCTAAACCATCTAAAGGCCTAATTAGCTGACAGTGACTCTATAAAAATGTTTTCACTGGAGTTGCAATGTTATTTAAACCTGTAGAAGTCAGTCAGAAGAGACTATCTATATTTCAGCTAAAATACGTTAACAAAAAAAAAAAAAGAAAAAAGATAAATCAAAAGTAGTTTAACTTACTCACATAGCATTCCTGCTACAGGTAAAATGAATTATCTAATTTACTGATAGGTATTATGCTGTTTCAGTGTAACCTTTAAAAAAGACCAAAGCAATTTAGGCTTGTTAAAGAGAAGCAATTTCATTCTTGCAGGCATAAAGCCTAGATGTCTTGCTTTCCTTGCCTGTCCCATACATCTTTCCTTCTCATTTGGCACAGATCTAACATGAGGAGTTGGGTTATTGAAACGCAACCATATTGCTCTTACTGTTTTCATTTTTGAGTAGCATCAGCCATGCTCTAACACTGATGCTTCCACCTGTCAGGAAGCTTTCCTTCACCAAGAGCTGCAACAGCAAAATGATTCCACTGCAGGAGTTGTCAGAGCAAAGCTTTTCACTACCATAGTTACCAAATTTTGGCCTTCACTGTCTGCATTTCATCAGGCTTATTTCAGCCTAATTTTGCCTTGGAATTATTTTCATAACAGAAAACCAAATCTTTTAAATGCATATTCTTGAGAGGTACTACTGAATAAAATTGTAAAGTAATTCAATAGAAATAATATAACTATTTTTTTAACTGCTCAATTATACAATACTATATATCTTTTCAGTGTGAACCTGTGGATAATTCCTGTTTTCTAAGCATTTACTACAGACATACTAGTAAAATGTGACAGTATGATGACTGATACCCCAAATTTTGCTGTTACTCAGGGTTATTTGCAAACTTAAAAAAAAAGTACATTTCATTAGTTCTTCCATGTTCCTCAGCTGCTAAAAAACATGCAGTAGCCATCACCTAGAATATGTTTCATTTGCAAGATACTATTTTCATTTACAGAAACACATTTATAAGCTGTAACATCCATTCAGCTGTCTTAGTCTGGGGTTCTTTTCTCAGCCATGGCCACTATGTGAAATCTTCCAAACTGTGTAGAGATGAGTGGTCCAGAAGAATATTTTCCAAGAAATTAAGGTAGACTTAGGAGGATCGCTGTGTTAAAATGCTTTCATCATTCTTGAGTGCCTGGCATGCCTTTACACTTGAACTGATTGAATAATCTTGGGAACAGAGACTGTTTGTCTAGAAGGAGAAAAATAGCTTTATTGTACATTTCATCAAAAGAATAGTCTGTGCATGCGGCCAGCAGAGTCCAAAATGAGCACAGAGGATCCAAGTACGTTCTGGGCATTGTGAGTTAGATTTAAAAACAACTTTAAGATGCAATGAAGGTTACATTTTAATGCAGTCTAGATGGTTAATAATAAAAAATTCGATGTACTGCTGATCCAAGTTGAAAGTCTGTTTTTGCATGTCTTTCTGTGTACTCTTAAATTAGCCTTGTTATTGTCTGGACATCTGGTATAACATACTCTGTAAATCGGTTTTAGTGTTTATAAAATTGAATTAGGTTCTGTTTCATATTCCAGTGCTTTATCAAATAGAATTAGATTTTTTGTTTAACACTGCATTCTGTATTTTTTAGTATAGCTAAAATGTAAATCGTATAGTTGTATATATATACATACATCACATATTTTGAATTATTTCTACTGTTCTGTTTCTCTCAATACCTGTTATGCTCTGTCTTTTGAATACTGAAAAATGTTGGTTTTAAAATTGTATTTAACTTTTTAGAAATAAGAACTTTTCTTCAAAATTCAAGATTTTTCACTGGTGGTATTGCAAGTGCAAGGTAATAGTGTCCGTAAAGCTACAACATGCCCTTGAGAAAGTAAACACTATTTTAGTTTTTCAGTACTTCAGCTGAATGGGGATCATGAATTCAGCTGTATTTATCAGCTGTGCTTGTTTTCAACAAAGATTGAAATGAAGTCTCAATCACTACTGACACTTCTTGGGTACAGAAATACTCTGTCTCATGAAGAATTCGTTTTAAATTTAAAAAAACTGTCACTTAGATTTCATGGATGGTAAGTTGAAGGAATAGTTAGTTATCATCCAGTCCTTTAATTGTTTCATTTTCCTGAGCAGTGCTGAGGGAAGCGTGACCAGATTGCCTGCTACATCTTGACTTCTAGACATGGAATATTGCTGGGTGCCTGAACTGGTTCAAAGTGTGCTGGACTGTCTGTGAGCCCCATTGTGCGTCCTAAAACATAACAGACATTACTAAGCTAGGTGGCTCTTACCTTCCTTTGGGAGCACAGTGTAGGTCGCTTCCATGCCTGCGTGGATGTGGTCAGTAACGTGACAGTGTAACAGCCAGGTTCCAGGGTTCTGTGGGGTCATTTCCACAGTTTGGGATGTCCCAGGGAACAGGTCAAAGACATCTGCCCGGTAAATCCCTGTTTGCTTCGAGACAAAAAAAAGCAACAGTTAAACTGTGTTAAACACATTTTCTGTGTATCATTTCTACTGAAGCATAACTTTGTACATCCACTTCATGCTCCAAAGTTTAATAAACTAGCAACTAAGTGGAAATGAAGGAAAACTATAGCTTTTGTCTTACCACAGCCACGAAAAATTCACAGCTATCTTGTTGAAGTAACTTCTGAGGTTACTAGTGAGTGAATGCTACTGGCAGATACTCTCTGGCTCTTGTATGTTGATCAAATACAGGTTTGAGGCATAAAACCCTTATGGTCGAAGTACAAGCCCTGCTTAATATTGCAAGATGACTTTTCACCATAGATAACAGTCCTTGATACTTTACTTACCTCATTCTTAACACAGCAAGAAGTAAGTGAAAAAGACCTGATACCTTGTAGTCAAAGCTGTGGCCATGGAAGTGTACTGTGTGAATGTCTATCTCATTGCCCATTCCCATCAGATACCAGCTGACATTATCTCCAACGTGCATAGTCAGGCCATGCAAATTTCCAAACACCTTTCCATTAATGGCTAAAAAGAAGGAAAGTAAGACAGAGAAAGCAAATAAGATTTTGTGTATTTTGTATTGTTATCTCTAATATAATAGCGATTGAAAGATTTGAAAGCCAATGCCAAACAAAAGTAATGGTTTTGGATGGTACGTGATGAATGGTTGTGTTTATATTCCACATTAAACTAGAAATAAAGACAAAATTTCTTTGCTGTACATTATTGCTAATATTGCAATTTTAAAAGAGCTGTGGGAATTGCAGATCTTTTTTTAAAGATCTGAAATTCATGTCAATCTTTGTAAAAGAATAGGCTTTACAAAGACATGCTTTCAGGATGCACATAGCCCTTCCAAAATATCCAGAGCAGTTGCTTACTGACATCAAATCAGAACTTCAAATTTCATTTTTATTCTTTCTGTACTAAAACTTCAACATGAGAATATACCATGGGGGTTTTGTTGTTGTTAAGGGCTTTTTAACTTGTGAAAAAAATGTCATTCACTGGCATGAGCAGTGTTTTCAAACAGTTTGAGTAAAGTTTTTCAGGCCTTCTGTCCTGGAATTCAAAGGGCTGAGAAAGTTGAATTTATATGTGCTACTTTCAAATACATATTTTTGTAAAATTCACAGAGCTATATGAACTAAATTGGGAAACATACCATGCATTTTATTACTTTCAAGGAATCCCTCGTCCTCTTTGTCAACAAGGTGTGGGTTGGTAGAATACGTTTTAATGTTTTCATCCAAGTACCATGACTCATTTTCATCAAAAACCATAAAGAGAAGAGCAAACTGAACTTTCTTTTTAGTATGAAATGATGGCAGGTAATGTCTATGACACACAATAAGTGTGCCTATTAATCCGCTGTAAGTGTCCTGAAATGACAAATGAAAACCCACAGAATTGTAAGATGTAATTAAACAGAAGTACTTTTAATGACATAAAGGAATCCTTTTACTATCTTCACAGCTGTCAGTATCTGGGAAGAAGGACAGCCAGTGTCAAACAAAGTTAATTCTCTGCTGTTATATGCTACCCAGGAATCAAGTTCAATGAAGACTATGTCATTTTCATCTCTTGTTATAAGCATTTCTTCCATATTAATTTACTGCTCTTTTTTCAAACTATTTTTATAATTTTGAGCTTGATTTCCATTCAAAATATACTTCTTGACACTATTTGTATTTGTTGAGACAGTGGCAAGAATATATTCATTTCCATAAAAATACTATGTTAAGCTAATTCATGCTTGGTAAAAAATGACAGAGTTGTATTTCACAGTTGCATTTTAGTTTTCCCACAAGTGGCTGATTAGATATTGAACAAGCTATAAAGTGTTAGCTTCTCACATTAGGGAATGTGAGAAGATCTATACCAAAAGCAAAACCATTAATGTCTAGCACTGAATTTTTGCCCTGATGTTCTTGCAACTTGCCTTCAAGAAACATATAAATTCAAAGGTATGGTAATAAGGGAAATAACTTGGCAGAGAAAGCAGAAAGTTTCAAACTTATCTCCTTTGACTATATCTATGTTGGAGACACAAACAAAACTGATATCAATAATGTACCTTAACAATGTCCACTGTTGAATGGTATGCCCATGCAATACAATGTGAATCTCCTCTCCCAGGACTAGATCTCTCTGGGATTTTCCAGACATATGTTTTGGTATCACCTGAATTAAATAAGTATCAATTAATTTTTGAAGTTTTCAGTGTGCTGACCTACAGATGGTCATCGTGAAGCACATGTTATTTCCATTTACAGCTGGTATTTGTCTTGGGAGTTCCCCTTCCCATTTACTGCTCTGGCTAGCTGATGGCCCCTTCTGCAGATCCCTGATTCTTCTTGACAATGGTTTTGTGTGTGTGAGCGTGTCTGCACTGTCCAGTTCACCATACTTAACAGTTGATTGTATATTTTGTAGAGATCACAGAGGAAATTGAGAAGTAATAGCACAAGCTATGCTTTCCCAATGGAGGTAAATCTGTTTGCTTTCATGAAAGGTGCAGCCACATTGTGTCAAAAAATTACTGATCAGTCAAGGACTAGGATACACAGCAATAATTAGGAGGGGCATTTGAACTGTAGAAATATTTGTCATAATCAGCATCAAAAATTTAAGAATTTGAGGCAAGACAAACAAAAATTATGTTTTTCCTGCTGTCTGGAAGCCTGCTAAATCTTTCCAGACATCTTGATGTTACCTGCTGGAAATAAAAAAGGGTGGTTTAATACCTGGGTTAGTTACAGCAACAACAGAACTGTCTGTTTTCACTCCATGGGCATGGATAGAATAAGGTCTTGATGCTAAGTTCTTAAAAACTATTATAATTTTATCTCCAATATTTGACACAAGCAGTGGTCCTGTTGGATTGAAAAGAAAGATTAACTTGGTTTTACAAAACATCAGAACACTCATAGAGCCAGCTTGTTGTGTTCAAATTCACAGCATTACCTTATAAGTCAGATGCAAACTGGATAATGTTCACTATGACATGCCAACTTGAGATGTTAAAGTTAGGCCTCTAAGTCTCAAGTTCTGAGCACCTACTGAAGTCAGTTTGGATGTTGCTGCCCAGTTTTATGCTGACTTAGAATCTCTGACCAAGCAGCAAACCAAAAGGTTTTTTTTTTTCCTTGTAGAGCAAGCAATGTTATCTTGCAGGGAAAGCACTACAGTAAAAGTAGCAGTTCCAAGTAGGTTTTCCATTTAGATTGAGGGAATTTTTTGTGGGTAGAACTGTACTCAATATTATTCAAATAGTATCTTTTGATTTGCATGACTGCATTTTTTTCATTTTCAAAACTGAACATGATGTCTTTACCTTGAATTTCCAGGTGCTGCTGCTCCTTTGCTCTGTTTTTGGGAGTACTGAATGTCTGATCGGTGTACTCGCGATATACTACCTTTTTGTACTTTGAGCCAATGAATTTGTCATCTTTATTTAAAAATGGATTGCCAGGGCTGCCAAAAGAAGAAAGAAATGCATTCCTTCATGTATTTTAGAACACCTTTTGCAGGTATTGCAATTAACTATCAAGCAAGAATCTGGCTCAAAAGAAGAAGTAATCTCATAAACTGAAAGAGTAATCTCATAAACTGCTAGTATCTTCAACATGAAAACATTCTTGTTAAGGTGGGAGGTTCCCCTTTAGAAGGTTTAGAACCCTACTATAAATAGATCAAGTCTATCGTACTTGGAAAAAATGCTGACTGTTTGGCCTGGCAAATGCAGCAGATTGCACGAAGACACACAGCAACTTGCACAAACAGCCTTTGCAACTTCAGTGTACATCTGAAATGAAGCCTAAAACTTGTAAAGCTGAAGTGCCTTGCTGACATTAAATGGGAGGGATTCTCTGTTGAGATCATGGGGGCAGGACACAATATGGGGGGGGAAAAGTCTGGTAACAGCATAGTCCATATTACTTGTGCTTAGAATTACATCAGAGTCCACTGGTACACAGGGCAAGGAAATGTACTATCAACTGAGGAAAAAAGAAAATACAATTAAGTTAATATCAAAATAGAGTTATAATCTGCTACTCAAGTTATTCAGGTGGAACACAGAAATTAATCATTCTTGTTTAGCCTTTGCTGCTAATTGGCATGAATTAGTTTATCCAATCAGTTCTCTCTCATTGAGATTCAAATACTGGAAATAAAACACCAAGACAACGAGCTTCATAGTAAGTGAATTCAATCACGAACATATCTTGTGTAAGCTCACAAAATTGAGAGGGGTCAAAAAGGACCTTACTTAGACTACAAATAAACATGAGACAAAGACCTTGTTTATCAGGACATAGTCATCATAGATAAGATGACAATGAATATTTTAAGCTTTCCGCATCAAAGACTACCAACATCAGTAAATAACAAATGCACATGCATTATCCAGGATCCATTAAAATCTACACCTGTCCCACAGAAGATCTGTGTGATTTCTCAACCATTGTGCTGTCTGGCTCAGTTACATGGCAGCACTGCTGGGGAAGGAGAACTCTGCTCAGCGCTGCTGAGGCCACACCTGCAGGGCTGTGCTGAGTTCTGGGCTCCCCAGTATGGAAGACATGAACACACTGGAGAGAGGGCAACAAAGGGCCATGAGGATGATGAAGGGACAAGAAAGCATTTCTTCCTGCAGGGAAAGGCTGAGGGAGCTGTGATAACCCTTCAGCCTGAAGAAGGGGCAGCTTGGGGGATCTCACCCACCTGTACAAACACCTTCAGAGAAAGTGCCAAGAGGATGGAGCCAGGCTCTTCCCAGTGGTACCCAGTCATAGGGACAGAAGCCCTACTGACACTAACAGACACCAAGTGACACACAGGAGGCTCCCTCCAAATGTCAGGAAGCACTGTGAGGCTGACGGCAGCACTGCTGGGGAAGGAGAAATTCAAGTAAGCCCAAAATATATTTGTGAAAAGAAAGTGTGTCTAGAAATGTCTGGAAGAGGAAAAGGTTCAGAGAGAAGCAACAGGAGTTGTTCCTTTGCTTTTTTTGCATTTTTTTCCCCTGTGTGTATTCCAAAGTACCTTTCCTTATGGTATTGATGTCGTTCGAATTCCCATGTCCTGTTAGGAGAATAGTCCCATTCAACTTCCACTGCAGCAATGTAGTAAATCTTTTCATGCAAATACATAGACAAATCTACATTCCACGAGTGGCATTTTTTCACTTTGTAGTTCTGTTTCATGCCCCCAGTGTAGTGGTCTGCTGTCAGGCAGGACACTTCAAATACTCCTAGGGGTCATATAAGAAACAAAGACTTGAGGAGACTGTGACACAGGTTATTGCTCATATAAGGTCCAAAATCTTTGAGCAGTATGGCTACCTGTAGTAATAAAATTCAGCATACAGAGGAGCTAGGAAAATCAAGAATTTAGCATTAAGAACATATGTTCTTACAGTTTGCTGCCCTTCAAACACACCTGTACACAGTTTTAGCACCAGGATCAATATACCAACTACTTAAAGCTTGTCTCTGCACAAAGCATTCATAGGTAACAGTTTCTGCATTAGTAACAGGATTTTTAAATAAGATATTTACCTTCAGAATCAGGCTTCATAATAGCTGTAAGAACTGTATGTGGAAATAGATTTGCTGTATCCCTTCTTGTTCCTTTAGTTACAAATGTGTTTTCTGAGAAGTATATCCCATGGACATCAACTTCTGAACCCAAGCCCATCAAATGCCAGGAAACAACGCTTCCTTTACACATCTCAAGACCAGGCTGGTTTCCATACATATAACCATTAATGGCTGTAGATTTGAGAAAGCAAAAGCCACTTTGGTTAGTATATTACTTAATTCTGCAATAGAGATTAATTAATAAACACTTCAGATGTAATGTCATGTCTTAGACTGACAAATATCAATGATGAAATACTTTATCACATCAAGAAAACTAAGGAATCAATTCAAGCAAAACAACTTTTAAACCCCAGTGTTTAAAAATAATTTCCAGCTGTTTCCCTTTTCAATATCCACAGCACATATTGCTACCTTGGCCAACTGGAAATTTCCCTGCTTTCTACTTGTCACGTATACAGGATGCATAAAAGATCCTGTTTTGTATCTAGCAACACCCTCCAGCTGTACAGTGAAGGCAATCAGGAGGGTTTTTTTAGTTTGAGTTACTAACCCTTTCTAGATAGTCCTTTGCAAAACTTTCAAATCGTGGGCTTCTCAGGTACCACTGAATGCTCAGTACCAAGAGTCTGTAAACAGGAATGGTCCTGAGGGGAAATTTTTTCAAAATGCATAAAACAAATATGCTTAAAAATTAGTACTTACTGGCAGAGTTAGGGCCTGAGGGTAAAAACGTCTTTTTCATATGAAACTTGGAAAACATTTGTGCAGTACTAAAACACAAACAGTGTGAAACTCAGTTCTGCCCTATTAAAGAAGCAAAGAGCCATTCTGAGGCAAAGTCCAGCTGGCAGATGGAGGGAGGGGACCCCTGCCCTCTGCTCAGCGCTGCTGAGGCCACACCTGCAGGGCTGTGCTGAGTTCTGGGCTCCCCAGTATGGAAGACATGAACACACTGGAGAGAGGGCAACAAAGGGCCATGAGGATGATGAAGGGACAAGAAAGCATTTCTTCCTGCAGGGAAAGGCTGAGGGAGCTGTGATAACCCTTCAGCCTGAAGAAGGGGCAGCTTGGGGGATCTCACCCACCTGTACAAACACCTTCAGAGAAAGTGCCAAGAGGATGGAGCCAGGCTCTTCCCAGTGGTACCCAGTCATAGGGACAGAAGCCCTACTGACACTAACAGACACCAAGTGACACACAGGAGGCTCCCTCCAAATGTCAGGAAGCACTGTGAGGCTGACCAAGCACTGGCAGAGGCCGCCCAAAGAGATGGTGGAGTCTCCATCCTTGAAGGTATTCAAAAGGCATCAGGACATGGTCTTGAGCAAGTGGCTCTGGGTGGCCCTACTTGAGCAGGGTGTTGGAACAGGTGACCTCCAGAGGTCCCATCCAACCTCAACTTCCCTGTAACTCTCTGAAAAACTTCCTTTCAGCTACACCATCTGCAAAGCAGAGGTCAGTTTCGTCTTGCTGACTGGTTGCACTCATAGTGGTTGCATACAGGCTGAAGACCTAACTCCTCCTTCTCTCTGCTCAAAGTTGTACATAACCACGCTAAATCCTCAACTGCCATGCAACACATTAAACATTTATATTAGACATTATACTTTGAACTACCACATTTGGTTGAAACTGAATTGCACTGAAATATTTGGGGTTTTTTTCCACTGGAAAGTAATGAAATGTCTCTGCACTATACAGCTTTCCTGCCCCAAACATGAAACAATTAAAGTAAAAACCTTACTGCAGAAATTAATATTTCACTAACTAATAGCTTTCTTACAGTGCATTTTGTTAGATTCTTGGAAGTCTTCATCATCTTTGTCAATTTTATCAGGACTTAGTGTAAACATCAAAATATTATCATCCAAATACCAGCTCAGATTCTCATCAAATACTGTGGCAAGTAGAAAAAACTCCATGTTCACATTTTTCTGTTGAGAATAAACAGAAGGGAAAATAAAAATGAATGAGCAGAAAATGTCAGGGGAAAAAAATCCTATGTTGTAATAATTTATCAATACAAGTCACAAAATAGAGTAAATGCATACATTGATACTTCATTCTTATAATCTCCAAGATCTGTAATTGCTGTATCTGGTAACTAAGTATCTACTAATGTTCATTCTATCAGCAGGGACCACCTCTGGAAGCAAGTTTGTATTTGATCTTTAAAATCTCTACATTTTCCTAGAGATTCTCATCATAGCTGATACTTGAATGCCAGCAGCTGCTCATGACAATGGTGTTTTCACATAGCAGTATCTGTCTGTCTGGAGCCAGATACTGGAAACCCACTTTTTTCATGTTGTTTATTCCCCTTAGGACATCGGTGAAACTGTAATGTGGAGAGGAGGTGGTGCAGTCTGGGAAGAGAAAGCAGATTCAGCTGTGACAATGCACGTTTCCATTTTTCTTCTTTGACTGACCTGTTTCCCAGAAGAAAGCAGAGCTCCTTTCCTGCACACTAGGAGAGGACCCACAAGGCCAGAACTGGTGTCTCTGACTGCATCCACAGCTGAGTAATAAAGCCAGGTTAAACAGTCTGGGTCTTGCTCTGTGGGACCCACATCTTCTGGCACATCCCATTCATATGTAAATGTGGTGCCGGGATTCACGTGAGAGGCTGGAGATTCGGCACCTATTACAGAAATCAGCATTGAGAATTATGCCAAGCGCACATTCTTTCTTTCCTCGCCTGTAACACGCGGGCAGGTGGGAGGTGGGTGCTCGGTGCTGCGGCTCACCCGCGGGCGCGGTGCCGAAGCGCGCCCCGGCCCCGCTCCTGCGGTAGCTCACGCCGTGCGGCTGGATGCTGAACGGGCGGCTGGCGTTGTTCCGGAAGGTCACCCTGATGCGCTCACCCACTTCAGCCCTGATCACAGGTCCTGGAAAAGCGTACACGGTCTAATTATGGGATATTTCTATTAAATGGTTACCACGAATTTATGGCATTCAGTGGCTGGCTGCGTTTTCCCTTGCGTGAGGAATGCCCCTGGGCCCCTGTGGCCACAGACCAGGTCCCTGGCACATGGCCTGAATCGCACAACAGCCCAGCAGCAACCAATCCCTGTTCACATGGAGGCCCAGTGACTTTCAGGATAGTTTCCTCCCTTTGGAAAGGGATTTACAGACATTAGCACCAACCCATGCCAGGAGAAGCAAGGTTATCAATAGAACTAGATCTGCCTAGCCTGGCCTTGTAATTAAGAGCCTGACCTTTGGAGACCATGGCATGCTCCTACAGGGAAGCTGGATACCATGACAGTGTTGCATTCAAGAGCTTCATAACACGCTGGGGGAAACCACAGGCACTAGGGACTGCTGGAGGCAGGGAGAGCTAAGGGCTTCTCCTTGGAGGGCGGGGCACTGCTCACTAACCAGTGGAAGTGACTATTTACTCTCATAAATCTTTGACATGAAAAAATTTTGACTCTCTTACCTAGGAGTCCAAGGTGTGCTTCCTCTGCAAGCCTTTTTTTATATTCAGTGAAAGACTCATCTGTGTATTCTTTGTAAATTGCTTTTTTGTAGGAGCCACCAATCCTTGTCTCACTTTGTTCAAAAAAGATGTGAGATTCACTGTGTAAAAGAAATTCCAATAGATACAAACATTTCAAATCAAAATGCTCAGTTGTAAAAAAGCAGTCAGACCTCAACCCTGTTTTCAGAGCTATGGCTTGCTGAGTTTGTCTTTTGGGTTTCTTTCCAGTGGTATGGTCACACACTTATATGCAGTGATGTAGAAGATGTGCAGGAATCCATTAACCTTCACTATCTTCTCATTAAGAAAAATCCACTGTGCTGAGCTGCCCTTACAAAGCCAGCATGCTTAGAGACTCATTAACGATGATTTCTAGTCAACATTTCATAAACTTGAATTTACTCTTCTTCTAATTAGAAGACACAAAAATTCAACAGGAGCAGATACGAATACCAAGAATATGTAACATCTATATACAAAGTGAGAGGATTCAGCCAACACTTCTACTCTTTAAGAAAGGACCTTTCAGAGTTTTCCAAGCACTATTCAAACATTGAACTGTGCCTCATTGCTTGTGGAAGAGCAAGCAGATGAAAAACTTGAGGAATCAATGTATTCAGCGTATCCAGGTCTTAAATATGTAAACACAGTGTGAAGAGCAAAGCTATCTCATGCAATCTGTTTCCTAGATGAGATACAGTTAGCATGAATTTCATCATCTAAGGCAATGGTCATGATCTCCTGATTTGTTCCCTAACTCAGAATAATCAACCATCTTGAATAATCAGGAGTCACAGCCTATACATGACATAACAATTAATCTTAATCCCAGTGAAATGACTAACATAGCAGCAAAATTTAAGGAAAGATTACAAGGAAAACAAATTACCTAATTTGGTCTGATATTTATTCTAGCACTAATATTTAAGCACAGATGAGGACAATGAGCAATTATGCTTAAAAATCAGCTCTACCATATGGCTTACCTTAATTAGCATGCTTAAATCAATTCTTCTTGGAAAATAAAACTTCTTTAATTAGAGGCATTTACCTGTCAACAATTAATTCTTGTCCTGTAAAATGGTTCACTGCAGATGGGCCATAATTCCAGATGATCTCTTCAGCAGCAAGGAAGTACTGTCTTATCTTTGTACTCTCACTGTGACCTGGTGTGGATTTCTTACAATCTTCTACTTTAAAAAGGGCCTGCATACCACCTGGGAAAAAAGAGGTAGAGAAACCTAGGGAGAGGGAACTGCATTTTGTTATCTCTTTCCCTGCGTCCAACAGCTCTTCTGTTGTCTGGACAATTCCCACACCACTGATGGATATGCAAATCACAAAGTGGAAGATAAATGCTATAAAAGGAGGTGTGCCAGCTGAGCTAGGATATAGAAACACAGCCGTGGTATCCACAGCAGGCAGACAGGTGTGGTAAAGGGCATTCTGCTCATGAAGCTGCAGCTGGCATGGTAGAGGAGATTAGGGTAGAGTGGACACAGTGCTGTCTGTGAACCATCAGCCAAGGAAGGATGTTACCAGACTGACTATTCTCTATCTAAATATAATCAACAACTTACTTGTGGAACTCCCAAGTCTGCATCCTAAGGGAAGCAGTTGGTAAATCTGCTTGCTGGAGACACAATATAGTGAAGAGAGCCCTTTTACTGCTATAAATCAGGCCAATTTGTAGGGTTTGTCTTGGCCAGAATGCCTCAGCCATATCAGGATATTGCTTGATCTGATAAAGCTTGGAACCTCTGTGTAATTGAATCTGTAGGTTACACACTTCTTTTTATTTTGGAGTTTTCAAATCATGGAGAATGATTTTCAGTTCCGTGTTCTTTCCCACTTCTGTGACAAATGACTTCTCTCACATTCAAAAGCCTGGAATTAGCTTCTAAGTATTTAATATGGCTATTACAACTGAAAATACAGGATAATACAGGAAAGATAAATGAACACCTCTGCTTATTCATGAATGCACTTTCCAGAACATGTATTTCTCAACAGCCAAGTTAGCCTGCCTGTTCTGTGCCCTTTGTCAAAGATGGAATGAGGCCCATCTTTTTTGTTGTCAAACAGAAAATTGTGGTTAGTTATCTCCAGGAGGAGGCAAATGACATGCTGGTTTTTTTGCCCAAAGGCAAGGCTTGCAAAAATGCAGCTGGGCTAATTGCTGCCAGCTGCTGCTGATGTCCATTGGAGAAAAGAATCCCTTGATTCTCATGGCTACAGGTTCAAACACATCTAATGCACTTGTAGGCACTTCAATTACTCTGAGAGGTTTTTTACCTAGAGGAGAATACTGCCTGGCATATCACCAGGTCAAGAGCCCTGCAAAAGTAAACTCTTAACTCAAGCTAAAAAAATTCTGATCACTGAAATTTGTGCTGTACCTTCAATGTGGTCATTCACTTGGCAGCTGAGCAGCCATTCCCCAGGGCTCCTTGGTACCATGACAGCATCAATGAATGTGGCTGGGAAGAGGCTGATGGTGTCAACTCGATGATGTCTTTCTATTAAAGTCTGCCCATGAAAGTAGGCTGAATGGATATCAGCTTCATTACCCATGCCAAAAAGATGCCATTTTATCTTATCTTCCACACACATTGTGAGGTTTGGGAGGTATCCATACATGTACCCATTGATTGCTAAAAGAAATGTTATTTTTACAGTTAACTTCACAGACCTTAGGATGTTTCCTTCAAATGCAGGTATCATACAACCAATTTATCTATTCTTCAAAATAGAAAGAGTTTCAAAAGAAAGATCCACACTTTTGAAAATCACTGCCGGTATCAGACACATGCTTCCTCTACATAGATATGATTCTGGAATACATGCCGGAGCCAGAGGTATCTTATTTGTTTACACTAACAGTAAGAACTGTTTTTCTAAACTATGAAATTATAGTACAGAGCTCAGGACTGAGAAGCAGAACAAAGTAACACAACTGCGTTTAGAATGCCTGGGAAAATTACACTGGCAAAGAGCTTCGTGGCCCTAAGAATTTTATATCACAACTCCAAAGATTTGATTGTACAATACTTGCCATCATTTTTTAATTTTTTAATTTTTATTTAAAAGAATCTGTCTTAATCCTCTAAGAAAAATCCTTGATTTAAAAAAAAAAATTCTACAATTCATCTTTAAAAGAGACAAGACAGAAAAATATTACTTCACAAGATCAGTGACAAACAACATTGATATAGTGTTCTCTCACAGTGCATTTTATTGCTTTCCTGGAAGTCCTCATCATCTTTGTCCACTTTGGAAGGCTCAAAACAATATGTTCTGATATTGTCCTCGAGATACCAACTGAGATTTTCATCCACCACAGAAAACATAAGGATAAATTCAGCATCAAAGTGTTGATCAGTGTCCCTATTCATTGTATCTGAAAAATAAAGTGGTATATTCAAAATCTTTGGTAACTTTGATATTAATTTTTTTTTGTCAGTTTTGACTCGTCTCAGTAGGGTTGGACCCTTTTTACTTAATATTTTGACACTTTTCTTGAGTGTGACTGTATACATAAACTTACAGACATACTTAAGAAACAAAAAAATCCCCTTTGATAGATTCTATAAAATTACTGAAAATAAATAGTACATATTAATCTCTTTCCTATATAAGTATTTATGATTCCTTGCACATTGCTAGCATAGCATATCTCACTCATACAGATTTGTGAACAAAGTATTCTGCAAATTATATTCATTCTCATACACAAAATCAAACTACTTCCTACACTATTGAAGGCAGCTGATTGAGAAGACCAAAAGCAGTTATTTCAAAATCAATTGTAATCTTCTCCTCTTCCAGGAAGTAATTTCACTGATATTTATCAATGATAATTATCAATCACCTTGCATATGTATTTATTTACTCATTTATTTATGGTTTACCTTTCCTGCAAATTATTAAAGGCCCAACAAGCCCTGAGGCAACATCTCTTGGAGCATCTATGTGGGAGTGGTAAGCCCTGGTTATGCAGTCTGCATCTGCTTTAGCTGGACCTTGATCTTCTGTCACATCCCATGTGTAAGTGTACTGGCCTCCAGGCTCCACAGCATCATCTTGCTTTTGCAAATCTTTGGTAGTGTCAGGATAAAAAGCTCCTGAAGAATTCCACACAGTCAACATTAGCACAACACATTCACAAGAGGGTGTTAGGATAGCACCTGCCATGCTGAAAGTTGACTACATGCTGCAGCAAAATGGACTGAACATCTGAATACAGGTTAAAAATCCACAACTTTTAAATCAGATGAGTAGATGTTTTCTTTCTCTTTGGAAATCTTTACATTTGCTTTTGAATTCCATAGGAGTACTTCGATTAATGGCCCATTAAAGTTAGTCCTTAATTTATTCAGAGGGGACTATGTGCTTCTTGCAAAAAGATAACAATTCAAATTTTGTAAAACATTTGTTAAATATTAATCTTGGAAACTGTTCTAAAAAATTGCATATGCCCTGAAGGAATATAGGTGTTACTGGAATGATAGCAACAGAAAAAAATTCTGAAAAGTGTACATACTGCTACATAATGACAGAGTGTGTCTCTATCAAGGCACATACTAATAGTAATGAAAACAAATTACTAAGCAATATCTGTTCACCCATTTTAAGAAATTCTTGTGTATCTTATATACCATATACATAAATTTAGTGTTAAGAATTTGGAGCAGTACATTATTACTGTTAACAATGTCTTCCTCACAGCATCACATTTTTATATATCCTTCATACCTGAATCTCTTATACCTTTATACCCTTATTTCAGTTGAAACACAAATATTCTTTTTTCAGGTAAAATGTTGATCTAAAATTTCCTCCTTCAAAAATTCCACTTTTGGCTTTGTATTCTACTCTCGAAAAATTATCCAACTTAGCTCCTATTTTAAATTGATTGTGTCCCAGTTTAAATCTCTTTTTACTTGACCAGTCTTCTCTCTGATGGAAGAATACCACTTACATTCAGAGGGACTATTAACTTTTGATAAATTCTGGTCCAGAATGGAATCAAGCTTACCTTCATTTTCTTTTGTGTATCTTACACCATGTGGATGCAGTGTGTAGTTTCTGGAAGCAAAGTTTTTCAAGTGAATAGTAATGGAATCTCCAACTTCTCCCTTAATTATAGGACCTAAAAAACCCAGCCAGGAAGGTTTCTCAACTATCACGTCATATAAATGATTGGTATACTGAATGTAGATAGCCTTCTTGTAAGTGTTTCCTATCCTGTGTGGTCCTCTTTTGAGAAAGACTTCAGCCTGCCTGTAAAGAAAATACACAAATGCATCTGCCACGTGGTTTTTAATTAATAGTCTCAAATAAAGACCAGGTCTCTGCACTGCTGTGCGCAACTACATGCAAGCCTTGTGGTGAAATAAATTAATACTGTCCAAAAATGCAAAGCATTTTCTACAAGGTGGAGTATTGTTTGAGCACATGGGGAAGGAACTGTAGAAGAAGGTGCCTTGGCAAGTGCAGGTCTGAAGTGTAATTCAAATGCAAGTCCAGAGCTCCACTTGGAGAGGAAAGGCTCAGTTACTGTAATTCTGAGTGCATGAGGCTCTTGAGCTGCAGCCTAAATCAAACATGTATGGTATGGCTCTTCCTGGACCATTTAAACGGCTACCATTTCGTTGTAGATTATTCCTTCTGCACTGTGTTTTTCCCTGCTCCTATCAGCATCAATCTCTATGCAAGCACACCCTCAAAAAGCATCCAGGAGGAGAAGGGGAATCAGAGAAGCTGAAACTGAAAAGTACAATGCAAGGGACTGGCTCCATTGCAGGCATACAACCACTGAAAACTGAAATTAATGTAGCATGCCGCACGTCACCACAGACCAGGGGAAAGCAGTGAAAGTGCAGTGGTTTGTTGTATTGTAACACAGCTCTGCAATCCTCGGACAGGATGCCCTGTTTCCACCCCCGATCAGAATAACTAGCCTGCTGAATCCCTGGCGGTGTCTTACACCTCACAAAGTGTGTGAGTGGAAAAAATGAAAAGCTAACTGCTTAATCTCACACCTGATTGAGTGGCAGGTTATGGCTGAGGCTCTTACTAAAGAAAACAAACCACAGGAAATCTTGTAATCCCTCATCCACAGACTAAATGAGAACTGCATTTTTGAGATTTCTGATTTCCTAATTTCCCATTTCTCTCATCATTGTTTTTGCTTTGATATAGTCCTATGTAATTTTAAAGGCACTGAAAAAAAGAGAAGAAAGGAACAATTTTCTTCTCTCAAATATTTTTCTGATGCCTTTTATATCCAAATTTTCTTTATTGATTATTCAGACCTCCAGAATGCTTCCCCCCTCCTCACCCTACATATCTTCAGCCTACTTACTGCTCTCACTCTGCTCAGGACCCTCTTTGCCTTGTAACAAGCAACCCAACTCCTCCACTGTGGGTGGAAGTACCCAGCTGTGCTTCTGCACCAGTGAAAACCATCCCTGCTGACAATGAATAACTAAAAAGAAAACCTGTGCTCAGTAGGAAAGTTTTAAATTTATAATTTGTTTTTAAATTTGTCAATTCTGCATTTAAAAACAAAAATCATTTCTTCAGCACTAGCACCTGAGACATTCAAAATTAAACACCATTAGACATTCAGGCTCTTATTCTAGTCTCTCCTTAATAAATATTTCATTACAACAAATTCACACTCTCCTGCATATTCAAATACTTTGAATTAGCAGAACATTGGAATGCAATTCTCAAGCAAGCCGGGAAAAAAAATCAGAATTCCCTTATATGTTTGACAGAAAATCCACTGACACCAACATTAATTTCACTGCCTTCACCAGGTTTTCAGCCCTGGTGTCTAAACCAGATGAAGTCGTCAAATAAAACTCAACCAGTGACATTGCTTTACTTACTCTTCTTCTGCAAAAAGCTGTCCAGAGATGGCACTGACATTGCCAGGTGCATAGTTCCAGGCAGTCTCTGTGATGCCAATATAGTACTCCCGGTTCACTGCCCCAGCGTGACAACAGCAAGAAACCAGCAGGCAGATTAGGAGGAATAGCTTCATTTTGCATTCATGGACCTTGTGGAAAACATGAAATAAAAACACACAACAGGCACATGCAATTTCCTTTTATATGTTCCTATCTCTCCTACTCCCCACATCCTTACCTCCCCCTCCCTGCTCCTGTTTGCTTTTGTGGAAACAATAAAAGCAATTGCACAATGTCTGTGTGTCAAGAGCAAACAAAAGATTCTGGTAACTTCATCAGTTCAGAAAAGCAAAGAATTTTTTTCTATTTCTGCCAACCTACAATCACACAAAATAGCATTCAGATTGCCTTGGAGTGCAAACTTTGTCACTGAAGTGAAAGCAGATTTAAATGGATTTACAGACTTAAGCTTCATTACATTCTTCACTATCTTCATCACTCTCTCTACAGCTTGTTTACTACTGAGAAAATAATCCTATGGTATGTGGCACAAGAACACAATGAAAAATTCTAAGTGAAAATTCTATGTATCTGTTCTGCATTGACACAGGGAGCCCAAGCTGTGCCTACACCACCAGCCTGGTGTAGCACAAGCAGCAAAGGCAGGACTGAGGTCACTGGCACCAGTGTGCCCACCAGACATGCTTGGGGTAGCTCTGCTGCCCACCACGGTTCCCTTAGAGCTGCACCTTTGGCACAGTGTGGCACATATTGCTAGAGAGGGAAAGGACCAGCTATTCATGCATGGAGGTAGGGAGGTTTGCATCCCCTTTCCAAGCAGTTTTAGTATTGCAGAGATAGGCTCAGAAATTCCACAAAATGACCCCGCTGTGTTATCTTCCTCCTAGTCTGCTGCTGGACAGGATAAGCCCCATTCTCCAATGATTAAAACATAATATCCAGATAATCTTAACTGTTACCATTATCTAAATGCACTACCCAGTGCCAAAGGCTTCTCTTGCTTTATTCAAGTTCTGTAAATGTTTTGAATTGGTCTCACTGAAAAATAAGAACAAAATTGGATCTTAAACATGGAACAATTAAAAACCACCTAAGTAAAGTTTGCAATGGCACTTTTTTTGAGTGTACATCCATCACAAGGTGGTTATGACTGAAGCTTTAGGCATACAAAGCCACCTGCAAACTCCTATTAAAAAATATGTGTTTTCAGTCACTTGGGAATTCTTAAAAAATGTCATCTGTAGTCTGAGCACTGATACGATTACACTCATTCTAAATCCTTTGCAGCTATTCTAATACTGGGCAGAAAAAAATATTAATATTTTGGATAGAAGGCTAAGATTCAGAATGTAACCAAAATATAACAGTTTTCCTTTAATGACATAAAAATCTAAGTCTTGTTCACTAGGACTACAGTATAAGATAATTCACAAATTTTAATCACTATTCTTATCAGTCACCATCAGAATATTTGATTTCTTCATATTTCTACATATCTGGATTAAATGAAGGATTCTACTTCTCTCTAAATGACAAAGCCAAAGCTGAGGTTTTGAAATCTGTCCAAATCTATGATGAAATTCTGGAGTTTCACAGGTTGATGTCCCATGTTCAAAATTATTTCTGTAGGGACTTTTTTTCCTTTGCCACAGATGAAGATAAGTAGTGCAGTGTAAATATCAGCTTATTGGGGTTGCATATACCCCATCTGTAAATTAAGTGAGGCAAAAATGAGAAAACTTTTACCTCCTGTTAAAATACTTTAATTCAAAGTCATTCCTTCATAAATAAATTGTTCATGAGTGTGTAGGTTTTGGATATATTTTTGTTCAGATTTCCATTTGATTGAGGAAGAGAAAAAACAGCACAAGCAATACCCTTGAAATCTCCACATTTATTTGAGGGTAAAAATGTATGCTTAACTTTGCCTTACATCCCTGAATATTCTAAATTACTCTTCCTTGATTTGCAAAAGAACTTAATATTTTTCTTATGTAAAAATATAACAAAAACTTCTGACAGGCAATATTTTCCACTCCTGCTTTTAATCGCACCTCCCCCAAACTTTCAGATTATCTGTATGCTCAAACACACTCCTCTTATCTGTTTCTTAAGGAAATCAAAAGTACCTCAGCTTCTGAAGTCTGTATTATCTTCAGAAGATGTCTGAAAAGCAGGAACTTCTCTCAGGACCTAAATAAAAAGACCCTATTTAATTTCTTAAATTATGAGTCTGCAGTTTCATGTCATTAATATTCCTTAGTTGTTTTAAACCATAATACCTCATTTCTCATATTGAGGATGCTAAAATACTCTGAGTGTTTTTGAAATCCCCAAAATTGCATTGAAAAGATAAAAAATATTTTATTTCCAAAATTATCCTTGAAAGAAAATAATAAACCCCCAAATGGAATATTCTGACAAAAGGTCACACATATATTCATAAGATATGCATATCATATATATAATATATATATAATTCATGAGATCACACAGTGAGGCTGAATTGAACCCCCACGGTTTCACAATTCCCGCATGTGAATGATGTGTGTCTGTTGCCCATGCTGCTGCTCTGGCTGCCTGTAAACCTCTGCAGTTAAACACCATTTAAAGAGCTGGTGCAGCTTCATTTGTCCTTTGCCGCTCTGTGTGGAAAACCCCTCTATCCATAATGGGAACAATCAGGAAATTGTAGTTTAGCAAGAGTCACCTTCACCTACACAAATATTAATATACCCTAAAATGCAAAGGTGTGGATGTGGCTCCGCAGTATTTTACTACAAAACCGAATATCTACTGTGATTTCCACCAGCAGTCTTTTAAATGAATGGCATTACTGTCCCAGACAAGAACCCTGATACTCTGGCAAAATGCACTGGCTCTGGGGAACAAATAATGCTTGAACTCCTACTGCAGATTCAGCACTAATTCCTCTCTGCCAGGAGTTTATGAACTCATATCCGCAGCTTGCTTTCTCCTGTGCCTGGGGTGTTTTACATGGGGATTTCAGCAGGCAGGATCTGCATTCCATGTCCAGGAACTCTTGCGCAAAGAAGGGTTTCTCCACGCTCCAGCACGGCCAAGCCTTGTCCCAGCCCGAGGGCCCTGTTGTTGAGCGAGGTCTGTGTTCTGCAGCTGGACAGCCACATCGCCTCAAACCCCGTCAGGAGCATTGGTTATGCCTAGATTTCGAGCCAGTTAATTAAAATTCTTTGCAGGAATCTTGGTTCTGCTACCAGACACAGCTCACAGCACCACTTTTTAAAGACAAAATACTTAGGATTGAATCAGGACTTAAACTGATTAGATCAAGGTTAACTTTGCCTTACATCCAAAAGCCTTGTGTGAAACTGGCTGTTAAATTTGGAAATACAGCACGCTGTTAGCCTTTAGTATTCTTAACAATTTCAAGTCAATAAACTGCACCTTCAAAAGAAGAACCACCAAGTTGCAGCTGAAGCTGGCTATGATAATGGAGATGCCAGATTCTGGATTATGGGTAAAAAGGGTTGCAGGATCAGGAAGCCAAACAAGAACTACATTACATGTCTCTTTATTTAATTTAAGGCCCAAAATTAAGAGATGTCTGTGATAGAGTGGAAATGTAAATTCACCAGACACAATCATACAAAAAATGATAAAATGAAAAAATTATAAAGACAGATTCAGAGTTTGTAGGCAAGACATTAGCAAGATTCTCTGAGATGTTTGGTAGGTTGACTTTTAAGTTTTCTTTCTTTTCCTTCTGTCCACAAACAACATCCATAAAAATTCAGGATTACAATTTAAGGTAAATGATATGTTACATGTTTAAATCTAGAGAAAAACAAGTGTGCAATGACACAGTCCTCGTTTTATCATCATGCCTTTGTATCATGCACCCCTGATAATCCATGCCACTTTGAACCATCTCCCAGAAGACTAGCCCCATTCTTACATATTATTTATTACTTTATACTTCTTGCAACTTAAAAGAAACTAAGCAATTAAAATTTTAGATGCATTCTTGAAATCCTACAGGAAGAAATCAGCTATTCAAAACCATCTGACAAAGGAATGTGAAGGCAAAACCTCAATATTGTCTTGAAACAGAACTAAATGACTGATATATTCTATTTTTTTCTAAATAATTTACCCAAAGCTGACACTTATTGTATGGTTTGCATTTCTAACAGTATTTAGTATTTGAAGACGATGCACCTGAGTTGCACTAGTTCTGATGTAATAGGCATACACGCATTACTGCAAGTCCAAAGTACATATTTCTCTTTCCTCTTAGTGTTCAGAGGAAAAAACTAAAACAAAAAACAAAACAAGAGTGCTAAATACAGCCAAATGCTGCCATTGCAACTGCAAATGAGCCAGGTGTCCACTTCATTATGAATCCCTGATTTTTCACTGAGAATGAAAAAATAATTCTCTGAGAAAGTAATAATACCTTTTAGCTGCTAATTTAAAACAGATTATTCTTTTTCATCTAATCATTATTGTCAAGAATGTTAGCCTTTCATTGTAGCAAGGTCAGGATACTTGGAAGAATATTAATAAGCTAGCACTAGGTGCTCACAAAGTTCCCTCATTTATTCCCTAAAGTCACATCATACTTGACTAAAAGAAAAAAAATTGCCTCTGAGTGTAAAGAAACCCAGTGCAGCTATTAACATGTACCAATTAGCACAGCTGAGTTCAGACCTGTGTGTCTAATATATCAATCAGGCCCAGGTGCCTTTTTTACCACAGAAAGACTTGCTTTTTGCAGTTATGAACTTCTAAGATGGAAGGAGGAGGGTAGGCTCTGCCTACCTCCTTCCATGGTTGCCATCATGGTCTGTAACTAAAATTCATTCATTTAGAAATCATGGCTGCACTCAGTGCACTAATAACCCCTCTTGATGTACCAGGCTTTGAACCAGGCCCTTTCAAAACAACAAATAGTCATATGGTCTAAGCAATGACAAGGGAGTACACAAGCAGTTCTACAGCAGCTTATTAAGAAAAAACAATAAGGTGATTTCAATACAAAAGCAGTTCCATTATATTAAAACATCCCTACTGTCACAACAAGCTGAAGGGTAAAAAAATGAAGTGTCCCTGCCAAGTGCAACAGGACAGGTGAAGAAAAATGTAGATGTCAGACAGTTCAAATATACTTCATCCAAAACAGAGAAGTTTGATGGACAGAGATTTAGGACAAGGGTATCATTTTTCTTTGTAGCACTCAAATCTGCTGCTATGGATTATGGAGAGGCCATTTCTCTCTTCTTCTGGGGATGGGGGAGAAGCAGCAACAATTTCTTCACCATTTTCAGAGAAGCCCAGCCTGCAAGAAAAAAAAAAAGTGCTAATCTTTCTCATCCTTGCTGTGAAAGCCACACATTAATAAGAATGTCTGTAAATTGAATATTAGAATAAAGGTGTTCAACCTCTGCTGACATGATAGTAATGGACTTGGCATCTGTGTTAATTTCCTAACCACTTTTGTTTCTTCTCAGTCCTAGTCTTAAAGGTCAGAGCGAGCAGCCACCAGCCTCTGTATACCACAAGAAATTAGTGCATGAATCAAAACAAACAAATGCATTATCAGTACATATTCTCTGGAAAAAATATGCTGTAGCATAGAGAATGCATAAATCAAAAGGGTAGGTCCCCAACTGAGAGAAATTGCTGAAGGTACAATGACAAGGAGATGCTGAAGAAATAAACCTCAGATGTTTTGTTACCTGCACAAAAACAGAATAGGTCCCACAGAGTGTTCGTTTCAACTCAGCAGCTACTTTGAGAATGCAGATGATCAACTGCAATCCACTGAGAGCTATCAAAATCGAGATTAAAATAATATTCCACTCCACTATGTTAGCAGGTTCTGTGCACTTAGACCAGGAAGGGTAATCTGTGAGGTACCTGTTAGAGAAATACCAGGCTGAAGTAAGAAGGATGTTTCTGACTACTGATTTGGTAAACAATTTCTTCCAGAATAGTTACACCAATGTTTCTTACCCCCCAGCAGTGTCTTTGAAAATATAATTCCATCCACTTGATGAATTGCAGAAAGGGCCTTGAATCAAATGCAGGGTAAAAATGATGCAACTGTATCCTGAGAAAGCAATTCCAAGCAGGGCTAGCACAATAGAAATAAAACTCTGAAGTAAAGAGAGAGAGAAGTATTACCTTGTGGGGATAGTGTCAACAGCAAATATGATCATTCAGTCTGTCTAGCTACTTCCTTGGGGCTGAATTTCACATTTGATTTTTCCAGTCTTCAAAACTCAGAAAGAAAAATAGCAGGTAAAAAATAGTAAGAATACACATACAAAATAAAGATGAAGACAGAGTTTAAGACAGTTCTACAACTATAAATTATATATTATTTGGGTGGGGTTTTTAAGCTTATGTTTCTCTAAAGTTGTTTCCCAAAATACCAGAGGAATGCAGCTGTGTATTAAATATGTTGGCATCCCAGATAGAGTGTATTGAGTGATTTTTGAAAAAAAAAAAAAAAAAAAAAACCACTTCTCAATAATACAGGCAAAGGGATGAAGCTATTTAGCTGGTGTGCTTCATTCTATGTTCTTATTTTATTTTACAAGGACTTGGGGAAAGCGTGTGTCTAATTTTCTTTCATCCTGCTTATGCTTCAGATGAAAGAAGCTACATTTTCTGTGACCTTGCAACCCAATTTAGAATCATCTGCGAAAGGAAGTGAAAGCAGAGCAGTGGAGAGGGCAGGAGGATGTGCTGGAGCAGGAGCAGGAAGCAGGAAACAAACAGTAAGGTGATGCACAGAAATAAAACACACTCACCCTGTAGGTTTTGTTGCAGCTCTCACTCTGGCAGCACCGATAGAACACACTACACTCCAGTGTTATTAGAATTACTGCCAAAAGAAGGATCTGTAAGAGGACATCATAAGGGCAGTGAGATAACTGTAGATACTAAGCCAAAGTCTCCTTCACCTTTGGAAGGCAGGAACTGGCCTCTCTACTGCTGTCTTGATATTTTAAAGCTGATCCATAGCACAGCACAATTACTTAAGGCATACATGGAGCTGGAGTGGTTTTAGTAGGCTGGTGCTGTACTTGTGTCTTGTACTTGAAAGACAAGAGTACAGCCTCTGCCATCACAGTGCAGTGCTATGACCTGGGGCACAGCTACACCAGTGAAGCTGAAACTATAACACCAAGGTCACAAACAAAAGAATCAATACCAACGAAAAGAAGGATATTTTATTGATACAAACACATCCGTTCAACATCTTCTTGCTGACACAGGCACACAAATCAGAGTACTGCCTTCCTTACCAGCACATTCACTCTAGAAAAAGTCAGTAATGCAAACTTTTGATTAAATTCACCCGGACTTTCATTTGTCAAGTATCCATACTGATTTCTCCAGACTATTGGATTATTTAAGCCTGATCCTAGAATAATTTTGATAAATAGGATCTGGACTCCAGAACCACAAACTGCCATTCAGAGAGGCATGGGTTTGAAAAGGGAAGTATGAGAAGAGAATATTCCTGAATCACAACACTATCCTCTCATATGCTGCTGACTGGTTTGTAACAGAACGATACGTGCATTTTTAAGGAATTGGTAATAATCTTAAGGCAAAAAATGCTTCAAAATATCACTGCCATTGTTGCAGTTAACTTTTTAAAATAAATTTGCAACTGTTTTTCTGTTTGAATCCTCTGTCTGGTAGTTTTTTTCTTCTGTTAGAACTGAAGGTTTTTCTTCTGCTTTAAAGAGAATATACAATTTCAAAAGAATGTCTAATGTTTTAATAATAGTTCAGCACCTTCATATAAACCCCTCACTTATGCAGATAAACCCTTTGAAGTACTGGCTGTGTGCAATGCACTTTGATCACATAACTGCCTTCTGTTCCTGATGCTACAGCGCTTTACGAACATGGTAAAGAGCATGAACAGCAGGCAGTTCCATGGCAGTTTATTACTGCAGACGAGCATATTACAAATGTAACAGAGAAAATCCTACTATGCTAATCACAATGAGGCAATTCTCTCTATTTAGTCTGACAAGAGTAGTATCTGATGCACTGTGAATTCTATTCAGTCTTCTAAATTCAGTGGACTGCATACAGCTCTTAAAAACAATTGAACCATTATGAGAAGCTCTTTTTTTTTTCATTTGGGTAAAAGAGCTCTAGTTCAACCTTCACAGGTGATTAAATCAACATACTGTTTGCCTCCATAATACAAGCATAAATTACATATAAACAAAAAGACAGCAGAAAAAAAACCTCAACACACCCTGCAAAATCATTTGCATTTAATAACATATATAACTTGTCATTCAGTATACTAACTTTTTTTCGGTTTGATTGAGTTTTCTGCCTGCAGGGGTTTTTGTTGAAGTAATCCATACGGTCTTTTTTTAAAGCAATTACATTACTGAAGAGTAATCCACTATGATTTGCAGTAGAATGCAATTCATTAAAAATCCATAGACTGAGCACTTACCATCACACCTGAGAAGCAGATGCCTTCAAAATACCACTCATGGTTGGGGAGCTGGTAACTGGCAGCATGCAGAGCTTTCCCGTTTGGAAAGTATAGGAGGATGTTCACAACAATACTCCAAAGTGCAAGAGGTACCAGCAGGCAACTCAAACAGCTTCCACATGTCTCCAAAGCCATCTCTCAAGAACTCTGGAAGTTTTGTTCTTCTAAGCTAATAGAAGTTTACAAGACCTTCAATATAAGAAATGTTTTGACCTCCCCAGCTTGATTCAGTCATTTCATATTCACAGGAACCAGTGACTGGGGTATGATTCCAGGAACAGAAGTGCATAACAGTTAGCAGAACAACACATGAATATCACTGTGTAAACTCACTGTCCTGTGTTAAGCACGTCTTTATGTAGTCATTTCCCTTCTAAAAGATCCTCCTTTGTGATCTTCCAAATGAAATATGTCTAGGAATCAGACTCAGGAAGGAACTTCAAAGCTCTCATTTCCTAGTGACTGCTGAAAAATGTCCTCCTCCATACAACACAAATTACAACATAGTTTGTGACAGAAGCAAGGTTTTTCAACCTTACTGCAGCACGGGGAAGGGGGCTGTAAGAATGTAAATATGCCCAGTCTCTGTACAAAAGACCACACTTTGCCTTATAGTACAGAGATTTATTAAGAGGACCCTAAGGGGGAAACAGTGAGTTACTGACTTGCAGCAGCAGGCTGAGTCTGGGCCATCTTGCAGAGACTGTAGAAGCCCAAATAACACTGGTTAGAAACTGCAAGGCAGACTTATTTTCACACTTTTAATCAACTACTCTTTCTCACGGCATTATGTGGCTCCAGTGCTTTGCAAATTAAATCCTGCTATTTCTCCAATTGTTTCATTCTGTGCTTACAGCTGAGCTTGCACAGCTACAAGCCTGACCTATGTACACGTGACTTCTTGTGCAGGACAAAAGGTCTGGCTCTTGTTTTGAAATGCCTGTTGTTTGCACTGTGCAAAGCCAAAGTCAGACAGCTTTCCCATAGTCAATGTCATCATTCCCCAACCTCTGAGCATCTAAACACTATCCCAGTAACACAGAGCCAGGGCAGTTTGAACACTTGCAGCACAACCCAAGAAGCAAAGCCTTCAGTCTTACACCTGAGTGACCAGAAAAGTAACTTGAGAATGACCTTATGCTTTACTCAATAGTAAAGTTGCAGCCAGAGAAAAAAAAAAAAAAAAAAAAAAAAAAATCACCACAAAACAAACAAAAAAGGGGCCTCTATCAAAAGCAGGAAGGCTGTTTTTAGAAGCAATGACATCCCAACATATTTTCCTTATGTTTCCTTGTGAGCTGTTTCAGGTTCTTCACACATGAGGCTTCTCTCATCCTCTCATAAAAGCTGTTTTTATTGCATGTTGTAACTAATTCCATACTATTGCTTAATATGAGATCACACAAGGAAATGGGCAGGGTGGTACTCACACAATTACACTATTTTTCTACCTGTTCTCTGCTGTGACTCTCCTCTTTTCCTAGGAGGCTTCATTTTGAAGTCCTAATTCTTGATATTCTCATGTTTCCTGTTTTACTCCCTCACCACCATGGATACTTTTTTTCAGGTCTTCCTCTAATCAGAATTAGTAGCAAAACTGCCTTTCCAGACTCATAGGCAGAGACAGAACTCATGTCATCAACACTGTGCCACAGAGAGCAGAGAAAACAGCTGCATTAAAATCACGCACATCCAATCCCCATGACTGATTTTTTTACTACAGAACTCAAAAATCATAGAATTGGCTGAAATATTTTCTTAAAAGCAAAGGCCAAAATTAGTAGCAAGCATCTTATTTTATAATCAAATTTAATGCCATTTCCATTATAACCTGTTCTGATTAGAAGAAGCTAACTTGAGAAATTATGACTGAAGCAGCATTTGTTCTACAGTACAGCTGTCTGCTTCCTGACTTTTTTTTTTTTAAACTGAGCTCTGCAAATACCAGATTACAGTGTGGTTATTTTTCTGGCACACAATGCCACTAGAACAGGAAGCAACTACTTTATACTAAGAATTAAGCAAACCTGTAAGCCAGTTTCTCAAGCATCTTGCATCAGATGTCGCAAACACTACTTTCCCATTGCTGTCATTATTCATGAACTGATTCCAAGCCTGTTACCGAAAAGTCATGTTTACTCTGTGTCACTTCTCTGCCAGCTGATATGAATACAACCTAAACCAATCACTTCTTCACAATGTAACTGACAAATCTCTCAAAACACTGTCTTATGCACCAGACGACAAAATAATCCAGCAGGCCATTTTTTTACATGACAACATAAATAGTGAGCAGTAATGCTGTGCATTAGGGCTACAGGAATCTATTGATGCTGCATGCATTTGTGCTGAAGTTTCAAGTCTAAACCCTAGCCTAATCATTCTATATATAAGAATTCTATATATTGCAAAATTGTTTCAGTTCTTTAAGTAATTGTGTGTACCAGAAAAGCAAATAACCATTATGCAAGAATAAAGGCGAAGATCCTTAAGTTACATAGTAGTTATACATTATTCCATTGAGGACTTTCTTTTCCACTTTCTCTCCTTCCACACCCCATTTAAACTTGCAGATATTTTTTTCAAAACTGCATCTTCACACACAAAGACACTATCACACAGCTGCAAGGAATTGTGTGTGTATATTTATGTGCATGCACACATTCTCCTTCCTCCCTCCCATAGCAGGGCAGGAACAGGGATAGACGCTACAAAGAAATGCCATTAAATGACATTAAAGTCCTTCAACTACTTCTATGTATTTAGGTATGAATAAGTACTCATACAAAATTCAGGTATCCTGAGATTCTAGATACAAACTCTTTTCACCTGAGAATTGTTTTGCTGGTGTAGATATACATAGACAATTTTGCTTTCATAGTTCACTTCTTTTTTCAGGTATGTATTTGTACAGGGCAGACTTAACTGTGCAGACAGCCTGAGATACACCTGAAGTTTCTGGCTATCTTTAAGGACCACTCTCCTAGTTACAAACAGCCTAAGCATGCACTGACACCCATTGGAACTGCTTTTTCTCCCATGAATAGAAACTAACTTGCTCATTTTCAAAGACAATATGAACAGCTAAATTCCAAAACGGAGCCTCATTTCTTTGAAATAAAGATCATGTCACATTTTGGTTTTCACTTGAAAAATGCCATTGCCAGCAGCAATGCTGCCATGCTGGCTTTGTCAGCAATGCTGTTGGCAGCACATTATTCGGATGTACTTGTGGTGAAACATTCACTCTAATGTTCAACAAGCTACACTTCAGAGGTTCTTACCCAGGCCCGTACAGTAATGCCTTCAGGCTGATAACTGGTAAAGTCAGGTATTTCAGATTAATCTGTCTTTACTGACCTGAATTTGGACTGTATTCCTTGAACGCTGTGAGACCTGAGGGTAGCTGAGGCAAAAAAAACAAGAGTCATGCCCACATCTTGTTTTATCTCAGGCCTGTCCTGGAGCAACCAGGAGGTGATCCCCCTTGGGAGGGCAGGAGGGGCTAAGCTGGGCTCAGATCTGCAGGGACCCACTCAGCTCCCTGGCTGGGAGCTACCAGCCCTGACCCAGGACTAAGTCTCCACATGTGCTGCTGTATCTGACCCAGAGCTGTTGTTGAACCCTTATTGATGAACAAACACCTGTTTCAGTTAAATGAGCCAAACCAAGCAAGGAAGCAGTTCCCACTTTGGCAGAGCCTGCTGGAGAGGAAAAACAGGTTATAACCTGACTGCATTAAATCCATGTTCTCATGTCACCACTGTCCTTTACTCCAAGACCAGGCCAGGCAAGCAGTGTTTCAGCATGGGCAGGGAAGGAATCACTGACACCTCCTGGATATTTTTAATACAAATCTTTATTTGTGAAATAGAAGGGAAATCCTGAAATAGAATAGAAAAATCCTGAAAACCCTCAATCATCCATATTTTACTGCTGCTTTGATTTTGGTCCAGCTGACCAAAACCTTTCATCCAGGCTACGCTGGATTTGGTTTGTATCCATTCCAAGATCGGAATGAAAGAACAACTTTATTGGGAAAACAAGACAAAGTACAGAGCCGTTGTGTCAGTAGAAAGAGAAAAATAAATAAAGCCACTTTAGTGACATGTGTTAAGGCAGTTGCCTGTACCAATATGAAATGAACCAAAGATATTCAGGATACATCTTGCTTTTCAGTTCAGGCAGGTTAGTGGAAAACCTGCATATGACTCCAACAACAAAGGCCCTAAGTCAGTTAAATTCGTGGCAACAGCAGAGTTTGACAACAATGTGTATTTCAGTTTGCCTGGAATATTTAAAAAAAAATCCACAGTATATTCATTACAGCACACACATGCACCGATGTCAATACATTGTCAGGTTTCTAGCAAACATATGTCTGTGGGGGGAACAAAAAGAAAGAAACATATTAATGGAAAGAATGCTAATATTATTTCCAACTAAAAATGCAAAATTAACCTGAGCACATTTAGAAAACCATAGCATAGCTCTTCTGTACTGGAGTTAGAGCAAGGCAGACAGAAGGAAGAAAGCAGCAATAGCTTTGAAAGAGCCCCAGCACTCAACTGTGTCAATTAAAACATGAAATGCATGCTTACCTATTGTGTGTGATATAAATTATATCTGATTCATACTTTAAGCCATGGTTATTCCAACACTAGCACTCTGATACTGATTTTGGAATATGCCCAAACTATTTAACAAGGCTTTAAAGAAATTTTGAGAAAATTTCCTTTCCTCACTCAAAAAGAAAAAAAAAAAAAAAGAAAAAAAAAAAAGAAAAAAAAATTCACCTTCAAAAACCTTCCAGATCTGTCTGCAAATTTTGTTAGCTGTGCACAAAAGCCAAAGCTAACACAATATAGTTAGAACAAGCACCACACAACACCACAATGGTTTAGGCAAAGACCACAACCACCAGGAGATCCATATCTCAGTTATACCACCTATGCAATGTGGTGATGATCACATGTGTCATTGGACAGACAAAAGCCCTCTAGCTCCTAGCTCTCAGGCAGATTAACAGGACTGTGACAGCTGAGGAATCAGCTGAAAGCATGTGATCAAACACTACTTAAAATTCTAATCACAACAGGGCTATAGAAACAGCTGTACAGGGAATTGTTGCTTAAAATACCTATAAAGTAACTGCTGAGTAAAACTCCACAGTAGTATAAGTAACAAGTTACATGCTCATCTGAGAAGCATGGGTATATCTGCAAACTACTTACCTCCTCATGACTGCAGCACAGCCCACACAGTCCTCCAAGAATGCCATTGATTATCTGTATGAAGCACAGAATGAATTCTATTCCTCCCAAAACAAGGAGGATGGAAAAGAGGGTGACATTCCACTGCACGATGTTTTGAGGTTCCTGACATTCAGACCACTTGTTATACTCAAACAAGTACCTGTACACAGCAATTAAAAGCATATTAACATTGTGTCAGAATAGGATACCTACCATATACTATAACCATATTATGTCTAGTCTGTAACTGCATTGAGGATATTCACTCTGTGGAGTCCTAATAGGCTAGGTTCCCTTAGAAATAGATCCTTAAGGGAATAGAAAAAGCAATGGTTTATTCCATGCAAGGTTTTTTTTTGTTTAGGAAGATGTTGAAATATCAACCACACATTTTTGCTAAATCTTGATTTCTTTTTTAAAAAATAATCTAAGTTATAAAGGCAGAATTTCCAATTGCTTGTTAAAGTGAGACACAAACTCAAGAAAGCTGAAAGAGCAAAGGTTTTTCTCAAAATGATCACAAGAGCTTTGCAGGACTGGGCCTTTTTTCTAAAGATAGCAGTCACTGATCTGAGGCAAATGGGTCACTTTCTCTCCTGTGTTGCTGTCTTTCAGCCCTCATATGCTCACTTGGATGAGAACAAATTTGGTGAAGTACTGCAGTGTTTCAGCTGTTACTGCCCACTTACATCTTGAGAACACCAGCACTTGCCTTCAGCAAGGACTTAGACTAGTTCTTCTACACTCAGTCACAGTCAGGAGGATGGAGAAGGAGGAATGATACGAGTGAAATACAAGACATACAAGAGATACAAGTGAAATATGAAATTCAAACTCTGCTGCAAAGAGCTTTATGTGGCTTCTTAGTACTCCAACTGCCTCTAGTCTGGCATCAGCCATAACCTGTTGCTAGATACACCCTCGAGGCTGCCAGCCATACAGACACTTTACAAGCATGCCATGATAGCAGCCACATCAGGATTTATGTGCATTAATGGAGAATAGCACACTGACACTTTTTGCAGGGGAGCCTTAATTAGGGATAATTAGGAGCTTCTTGTCCTCTCTGCTCTGCAGTATACAAAGATTCTTATAAATCTTCTCAAGTTTCATTTATGAGATTCTATGCCATTGTCACTAATGTGAGCGTTGTGCCACTTTATGCTGGTGCAAAGCATCTTCAGAAGTAAGACTGAAAAAACCGACACACAAACAATAAGACAAATATCTTAACAACCACTATTCCTAGTCTGTAAATCCTTCAAAGTCCTAAAACTTTATATTTTGTTAGAGATGTTCATGGACATGAACAGTAGTATATGATCTATCGATTTAATCACCTATATATATTTTTTATGGCTTTGGTTTTATACTCTAGCAGTGAGGATAATTGATGCCATTTGTTAAGTTCTAAGTGGGAAGGATAAAGTTATTAATAGATTTTGGTATATGGTTACTGAACATTGCTGAAAGGTATGAGAATAAAGCCCATGTGTACATAGGGAAGAGAGAACATCCTCATGAACAGATGACTTACCCTCCAGATGAGTCAGTGAAAGGATAGATCCAGTTTCTTTCTAGGCGGGTAAGACAATACGGTCCTTGAGACAAGCCCAGTGCTGAAATGATTATACAGTATCCTGAGCCAAGGATCCCAACAAAGGCTGCCAGAACTGAGGACAGCATCTGCAGAGCAGACATAAAAGTGAACTTTCAGCACAGCCATTGCCTTGTCTTTGGGATTACCTGGGACTGGGATGTACAGGCTCACTTACCGCACAGCTCTTTCCACAGCCCTCATGGCCAAAGCACCCACAGCAGTCATCATTGTGAAGCCCAATGAACACTGCAGCTGGAATGAGTACCTGGGTATGGAGCAAAAAACCCACACTGTTCCTTTTGGTTGCCAAGAGAGGGCACATATGACACAGTCTTCAAATTGCATTCATTTATGTTGCTTCTTGGCAGTCAGCTGTACAGGTGATTCAGCTTTACTCCTATTTAACACATCTCACTACTGACATCACCAACCCCAGACAGGTATATTTCTATTGCCACTGTGGCAATATTGCACTTAAGCACAGCAAGAGACTGTTGGGGTATTGCTATATTTAAAGTATTTCAGCTTTAAAATTTTCTCTTTTCATTAAAGGCTGTATTTGCAAATAAATGCTTTGCAAAAAAAAAGAAAAAGAAAGGCAATAACTTTATTCCAAAGAGGACTACAAAATAAATATTTTTGAAAAACAGCTGCTGCCCATATACTTGTTACTTAAGAGCAATCATCATTACTTGTGTGACAAACCAGTCTGACTAGAGTAGAAAGTCTAGTAAAATTTTGCTCAATTCAGAAAAACATCTCATTATAGACATCTACTTTTTTTCCAAGATTTCACAACCAGTGACAGAAATGCAAAGTAGCAAAGAAGAAGCTATCCACGAGAAGCATAAACCATCAATACTCCAGAGTTTTTAGCATAAAATCAAGAATGAACTGAAGGAGCTGAATGAACAAGAAGGCGCTGATTAAAAAGAGGATCCTCCCACAAGCAATAATAGCCCTTAACATTAACATAAGTGCCCACTTATAAAGACTCTACACCCAAGAGTACTCCGTAAAAAAACTAAAGAAAGGATAGAGAGTTATTTGCAAATGCCACAGACTTACTTAACATGAAACTAGAATAATAACTATCCTGTTGAACAGACACATGCTTGTCAACCCTTACTCAAACCTGATGCTGAGCCCCAGTGCTTCAAGTCCAGCGTGCACTGCAGGAGAAGTTCCATTGGTTCCATTTCTATTATTCTGTGTGTAAAGCCCAGACTTTGAAAGTCCCACTCTAGGTCCCAATGGGACTGTAATATAGCTGTAAGTACCTCTCACAATACAAAACACCTTAGCATGCAATTGTTTTCAACCTGTGATTTGCAGACACCCTGAGATCATAAAATCATAGTGTTAAGAATTGGAAGGGACCTATAACCTATTTCTAAGAGGACTTCTAAAAGAAGATGAAAAGAGAAGCCTGGAGTTAGGGGTCTTAAATATGCTGCAGTGTGGTCTACAAAACTGAAAAGGTAGAAAATAAGAGCTTCACATTAATGACATCCTATAATGAACACACTCAGTCCTTGCATCCTGTTACTCAAATGCAAACCTTTGACAACTACCACTCAACACCTCTGAATAAACAGCTAAGGCAGAGAAATACCTGTCAGCATGTCAGATAATAGAAATTAAGGAATTGTATCTAAATGCTCATTATTTAGGGACATTTAAAAGGAAAGTGGTTCAATAATATAACAAAAATTTAAGATTTAGCCCTTTATGCAAACTGTGACCTCTGAGAGGTTTGGTTTCACTTTTGCATTTGGATTCTGTGATTTTTTCAGCTTTAAAGTGACATAATGTTGTAGATAAGATAACCAATAATAATTAATTGTAGCTATGGGATAATAAAACTTTTTTATACAACTCCAGAGACACCTGTTGACAAGACATTTGATGAATAAATTCAGGTAACCAGTAGAGAAAGAGCAGTACCAAGTACCTCCAAAATAAACTTGAAAGAAGACACTAGGTTGTTACTTACCAGAAAGCCTCCACCTAGAATGCCATGAAGGCACTCCACGTATTTGCTGAGGTGATGCTCTGAAGCAAATCTTGTTTCGCCATTGGGAAAATAAAGTAAAGTGTTTGCCACAATGCAGAGGAGAGCAAGGATGAGCAACTTATAACCAACACATCTAGCACACCTTCCAAAACACATATTTTCAACTTTAAAAATCCTCCTTCAACTTGTCCAATTCAATCTACCTCACACCTGTCCACACCTAAAAGAAGATCAGTGTTTGTTCTCACCTCCTTAAATACCAGGAGTTACCTAATTACCTAGATGACGTTTACAACCCTTCCTAACCACCATGCCCAATTGCAGAGGGAGAGAGCAGGGATGGCAGGACACCACCACCCTTTTAAAATGCATTAATTGTAGATTAACTGGATGCAATGAAGGAAATACTGAATACTAGGGAATTTCACACAAACATATGATGCTTGGAATAATCACTGGTGAGCATGATTAGATGTGAACAACAGGCTTAAACCACAACACAAGTTCTGTTAGGAACTGAAGGAAAAATGCTTTGTTTTCTTTGTTAGAAGCAGCTTTGAATTTTAGGTTTATAGGCTGATTCAGAACAACCTGAAGCCAGGGTGAGACTTGGCTGACTTCAATAGCACTGAGTCACAGTTTTGGGTATAAACAGAAAAAGGTCTACAGCAATGAGAACTATGTAGAGCAACCTCTCACTTTGCTATCCTGTTGATGGAACAACAGAAAACCTCACCAGGAGGTTGGAAAACAAATAAAAGGAACAGGTAAGCTTCTTAGGAGTATCCTTGTTCTTTCCATTATAAAACAACAATATTTTAGATAAACAGTCAATTAGTAAATGGTTTGGTAACAGCTAAACCAAGCAAACACTTGTGAAAAATACTGCATAAAACAAGGATTATAAAAGAGAGTCCTTGCATTGAAATATTGTGTATGGAAACACACACAAAAAGAAAAATGCCAAGAAAGAAACAGATTATATCCAAGTTTTCCAAATGGTGCTTCATGTACCAGTAACATTAATTTCCATAGTAAATGGTGACAGAAAGTGCGCTATAAAAATTAAGATTTAGTCTTTTCTCTTTTCCCTCACAAATTTTTCTAAACGAGCCCAGAGCCTTTTTCTTCAGATACAGTTCAACACAAAGGTGTGAGCTGCCGTGCCTCCTGCCATCACATGACAGGAGGTAAGTAAAATGCACAGGCCCAGACTAGATCTAGGTGGTGCTGCTGCTGCCATCATCACAGTACAATGTAATTCTCGTTGCAAAACCAGAAGCTAGACAAATGGAGTTTGGGAATGTACAGGATATTAGAAGACTATAATGAAACTTTAAAAAAAACCACTTAGGTTTCGTTTTTGAAGGTGGGGTGGGATGTGTTTAATAGCTAAATAACACAGTAGACACAAGCCCAAGTCAAAACCATGGTATTCTTGCAAAAGATGCGTGGAACACTTAAGCTGAGAAAGAGTGTGCAAAAATAAAAGGTGGGGGGTGAAGCAGGGGCAGAGAGCAGGCTGGTGCAGCTGTGGCTTTGTGATGTAACTTCTCCGGGTATTGTAGATGCTGACCTTGGACACTTCCTTCATCATGAGAAATATCCTCCAATTGTACAAACATAGGCTGGCCATTATTGTGTGCTCCACCTCTAATGACTAAAACAACCCTAAACATCATTCTGCAAGTTTCCTCTGCAGAAGAAGACGGACGCTCAACTGAAAACTTCCTTTATTTTGTTGGGCTAAAAGCCCAAACCACTCCTTCCCCAAAACTCACCACACAATACACTTCCCCCCACCTCAACAACCGCACCAACATATCGCCTGTGGGACATGGATTTAAAACCCTAGCCCTAACAAATTATTTGAAAACTTGTAAATTTGTTCTATTTGCAACTTATATAATGGTTTTCTAAATATTTCATTTAAAAAATTACATCATCAGGAACTCCCTATATTTAAAATCAATTCTATATTTAAAATGTCTTCTAATAACCTTGAAAACACTGTAAAGAAAGAAACAAAACAAACATTGTATTTGATGCAAATACAATTTTTTTACGTTGAAATATCTGGTCAGGTGTGAATCAAGGAGGCTTCAATAATGTCACTGCCATTTGGACACCCTATGGTACAGCTTCTACCAGAAAGTCTAACCAGAATATAACTTTTCTTTGCAGAATTTCTGGTGGTCCCACCCACCATCAGAAAAAGGTTAATGGAGGAAAGTGACTCTCATGGAAGCACTGACAGGATGTGGTAACTGTATGGCATCTGCAGGTGAGACACAGCAAAGGAAATAATGGCATGGGCTTCACAGACTTATTTGGAAAAACTGAGCAACACAACATATGTATTTACACAAGTTATTAATTCCCACTTGTATTCTCTGGCAAGCTGTTCTCCTTTGGTCTTTTACTGTTTAATAGGCTGCTGCTCATGGAGGCCAATGCTAGCTCAGATAATAGTTGGGAAGATAGTGGGAATGTGTGGTCACCTGTTGGCTAATCTAAGGGCAGACTCTTGGCCAGCTGTGCAGACAGAGCTCCTGGTGACCTTAGGACAACTCCAACTCCCTTGGACCCATCCATGCTGCCATCCATTTCCCAATGTCCAAATGGTGCATTACCCATGTTTTCCAGTAATCATCCACAAAAACACCGTGATGCAGCTGTAACTGTCCTCACCGCCTCTCAAGTGTACATTGTTTGACAAACCCGACCTGGACAGTCACAAGAGGAAACTGCTCATAATAAAGCCCTTAGTGCCTATGGTCTCCTGCCCACAGACAGAAGAAAGTCTCCAGATTACTTTTATTAATTAGATCGCAACTCCTCAGATGAACTAATGAGCTACTTATGAGCACAAGCAACTACCTGTTGTTATGAGAGCAATTGCTCCTAACACAGTTGTAACACACATGCACGTGCTTTGCTTGCTTGTTATCTCTGTCATCACTTTGAGACAGAAATCTGATCTGAACCATAGAAGTCAGAGTGGAGTGAGTGCTCACACTTCTATGTAACAACACACACTGACACATACAGAGAACATTTCATTTATTAGTAATAATGCTGACCTAAGAAGGAGTCAGCAACTGTGCAACAAAAGTAGTTTTTCCATTTAACCTACCAGTTTGGAGACTGAAAAGCTTACAACCAGGGCAGAGCTACCCCTAAATGAGTGTACAGAAATCTGTCTCTTTAAAGAAGAGCCCATAAACCTTACTTAAGAACAACTATTACTGACCCTGGACTTGCAATACCACAATCAAATAAACCACTTCAAACACTGTTTTCTGGTGACATACAAAAACCATGCTGTAGCCTCCATTCATTAATTCTTCCAACAGTGTTATTAAGATAAAAGTAGGACATAGGACAAACAAATCCTTTTTCTATTTCTGCAACAGCCTGTAGGTGAAACCTTGGCCTTGCAAAAGTGGCCAGCAAAAGTTTGTTTCCCTTGGACTGTACTATTTACACACAGGTTTGCATTTTAGATTTCTAGTCTATCCCCAAAAGTGTGATGCTCTTGCAAAAGTTAAACAAGCATGAGGCATTAGCATCACTATACTACAAGTATTCTCTCTTCTACATTGTGTGTTTGTAATGAGTGTATGGATCAGAAAACTGGCATCAGCTTAGCCTATAAAGTCTGCATAGCACAGTACAAGGAACAGATGGTCTTATGGCTCGCAGTGTGTCTCTGATGTCTCCCCTCCCTTGCAGCAACCACAAAAAACAAATGCTGAAAACATGGAACAAAAATTACCAGAGTTATGGGTTTGGGTCTTGTGGTGCAAAAGGCAGTCATTAATTACCTTTGTGTTTTTCATAAAGTGATCCTGTTTGTAGTGAACTTCTAATCGAGAAGAAAAAAAACCAAAAAGACTACCTCTATCATACCATGTATTTTAGACCTGTAAGCTCAAAAAAAGAATAGAAAATTGAAAAGCACCAAATTATTTGCCTGCTTTTTTCCTTAGCATATGCTTCATACATTGCTCATGCAATCTTGCATCTGGAATTAGCCATTAGCAAGTTCATGTCAATTAAATATTTTAACTATACTTGCTGAACAATCCCACAACTGTTGCTTTGGCTGGGAACAGTCTACATATTGATTCCATAGCAGCAGGATGGGAAAGGAATGTTTAAATCTAACATGTCTTTCACATTAGAATGACTGATTTTCCAGCATGTTGTCTTTACTTGCATATCTTTCAGCATCAGTAGCAGTTGAATCAGACATCACAACCAGAAAAGCATATCAGACATGACCACAAGACTCTTAAAAGATGATTTCCTAAACTGCAATCCCACCTTTCCATCAATCTTTGCTATAATTATTCAAACTGGAATCCTGAAATCCATTTAACAATATACACTCAGCACACAGAATCTTTGCTACAAGATGTTCCTTAAAATGGCTGTCAATGATAAAACCAACTATTTAACAGTCATGTTCCTCCAACGGGTCTCAAAAATATTATACAAAGGTAGCACACATTTTTAGTAGGATGGAATTTTTAGGAAAACCTCCAAAACATTATTTTTAAAATATTTTAAAAAAACAATTTAAAAGAACCAATTAAAAACCATTATTAAAAACCAAATTAGTCTACAGAGGATCCTTTTTCATGTAAGCAACATTTAAGGGAGAAAAGCAGAAGAAAATAACATTTAATGTTGATTATCATTTAATCAATTCTTAGCCTTTTTTTAAGGTAACATACTGGAATAACACAACGGAGAACATATGCTCTGTAAATCTACAAAACACATCTACCATGTGGTACTAGATACAGCTCTCTACTACAGCTGCTCCATTCACAAGGGTTTTCAAACTCACAGACATGGTGCCTTTCCAATGAACTGTAATTGGCTTGGAGGATGGGGAAATACTTATTTCCTGAATTAGAACTTTTCTATTCTTTTGTACTATAATTACAGCTAAAAGCAGCTGTGTCATTTGCGTACCAAAACATGGAATTTAGCGCTGCAGAAATACAGATATGTTCATTCCAGAGCAGCATTCTGCCCCGCAGCCTGGTCTGAGTCCAGGGGTCAGATCCTGCCCGTGGGACTTTGTGCCGGCGCTCAGAAGAGGGACCACCCCGAGGATTCCAGCGGCTCCCTCTGGTGACAATGGGGCTGTCACCAAACAGGTTCTGCTGGGCGCGTTGGCAGGCCTTGGCCTCCATGACCTC